TCATTCATGCATGTGTGAACTCTTAAATTCAATAGTTCGATTTTTATCAGAAGATGTGATAATTTTAATGGGAATATGGGTTAGAATTGTAGTTTTATTGATCCCGGTATGATTGGTGGTACTCAATAATGTTTGCTCCCAGAATAAATTGAAATTCAGAATTTCTTTTACTAACCTTTGATTGATTAAATTTTGGAAGTTACTATTGGAATTAAGGGCTGTTTGATTTGCATTTCCAAATAAAGTGTGTCTGAAATTCAGATAAGTGAATTCTGAAGACTGAAATTTATTCTGCAATAGAAAAAACGAATACATTGCCAGAGACTTTTGGTGGAATTTGTACGAAAATAAATGTAAATTTGACATGAAACTAAAGATGAGTTTAGAATTTTATTAGAGATTTTATTTGATTGGATTTAACATTTGTTGCTACTAATAGACAGCAGACTAAAATTCAAGTGATTTTGCTGTTTCTATCACTAATTTACCCATTTTAGGGACAGCCATAGAGGCTTCAGGTGCATACGCATACGCTGAGATTTTTATAAATTTGTTGGTTTTAAAAGCTGTTACTTGTGTTCCACGTGCACATTTTCTGTCATTTAAGAGATAATGAACTGACAGCAGGGAAAAAATCCAGACACACTTGAAAGTTTAAGGGACCATGATTAGAACTGTGAATCAACCCAAACCTCAAGGGCTCGATGTGTATTTTTACCCAGTTATTGATGTGATTCTTGTCTCTTGCACTTGGATTCTGATTGTACTAAATTTTAAATGCATTATTATGCAGATATGGATGTCAAATTCAAAAGCTTTCTTGATCAGTGGGAAATGGATCCAAAAGTCCACTGTTGCTGCTGGCCCTATTCGTCCTACATCACGTGTGCCCTTAGGGCACATATTAAGAAGTTTAAAAGAATTGTACATTCTACATGAAGGTGAGTGCAATTAAGAATGTACAATCTTTTTAAACTTACTTAACATGTGCACTAAGGGCACACATTAACAAGGCCAATATTAAAATTATTATATTCTTCAATCGTTTCTCCTCGGCTGAGAAAAACACTAATATGAAGGGTTGTGATAGTAGTAGTGCAGAAAGTGTATCTCATGTTGGCGAAGCACTTCCTCAATCCAAATAATAGCAGAAGAAGTTGGCACTGCCATCAATGGTCCAGCATAAAAAGGTCTTCAAGAATGAATTGCATAATGTGATTTAGTCCTATATTTTTATGATTAATTTTTTCTTATAATTTTTGGGGCTATTTCAGCCTTATAAAGTATTTAGTAAGGTTATGAGGGTAAACCACTTGATGCAGGACAATTAGGGACAGCAGCAAATCTAGGCTTTTGGGACGGATTTTAATTGGATTTTATGGCTGCAATTGCAATAAGAATATAGTGAACAAGTAGGGTTTGTTTAGGATAATAAATAGGTAAGAGTTTAAACATGAAAAGATGGGATTTTGGCACTGTTTAGGGGCTGTTTTAGGGCTGTGAACAGTGCCCATGAACAGTATTTCTGGGCTGTTAAAAGTGCAAACAATAAAAGAGGGAAAGAAGGAGAAGGAGAAGAAGAAGATAGGTCTAGGTATCGCACCTAGATTCGATAGGTATTACACCTAGGATTTGGTTGCATCGCACAATCCATAAAGAAACTTCAAACTCTTAATTTTTTATAAAATATCAACTATATTGAATTAGAAACATTACATGACTTTAAGGCTAAGTTTGGCATCTGTCCAAAAAATCAAAAAGTCAAAAAGTTACCCAAAAAGTTAAAAAACTATTCACCAAAAGTCAAAAAGTACGGCTGCACAACTCTCAATCCTAATTTTTCCCTCCGAATACTAATTTTCCCTACATACTAATTTATACAATTTTTTAAAACACATTTTTTCATAAAAAGTCAAAAAGTTAACCCAAACAACCATATTTTTTTTTTCAAATTTTTAGTCCAAAAAGTCAAAAAGTACACTTATTTAGGATACCCCAAACAATCCCTAAATAGACTTTAGAAACTTTCTAAACCAACTAGAATAAAAAAAAGAAACTATCACAATATCTTTGACATCTAAAACCAATCTAAAACTAAGTTAGAAATATAAATAAAATCTAATTAAATAACTTGACCCACAAGACAACAATGGGCAACCCGAACAACTCATATACAAAAATTCTGCAAATCACAAAAATATCACTAACCTTAAAAATCCTAGAAACATAAAATAATTATAAAATAAGACACTAATAATACTATAAACATGATTTTCTATAATTCTTATAGTTTCTCTTTGAAACCTTGCCAATTTCTCAATATCACCGCTTCTTTGAATTTACTCTTTCTTGAGCTTCTTGTATTCTGCATTATTCTCTTTTCGTTGGAAAAAAACTCGACCTCGAGTTTTAAAGTGTTGAAGTATAAGAATCTACAAGTTTTGAAATTGTATCCATGGCTTCACATTAAAATCTTCAAAGAAAGATAGAATCAAAATTGATTTTGATGATTTATTTGAAAGAGAAAAATAGAATCAAAATTTATTTTGTCCCATTATTTCTCACCTAAACCTTTATCCTAAATGTTGTTAGAATGTATTTAATATTTGATTAAATCAGAAGTTCAAACAGCCCAAAATAAAGGTTCAAACAGCCCAGCACAGCAGCAAGCCAAAAGGTTCAAAAGGTTTAAGTGGAAGATATTCAAATTTGTAATGATGGAGTGGAAGATATTCAAATTAGTAACGATGGAGTACAACGGCTATAAATTTAAATGAATACAACAGCTATACACGGCTATAAATTTAAATGAATACAACGACTATAAAGAGTTATAAGTTTCATTATATATACCAAAGCCTCTAATGTAAACAAGTGACAAAAAAAATCAGAAAATATTCTTTGATCTATAATCACTCACATTTATTCTCTGAAAAATTCTCTGAGAAGTGTTCTTCAATTTTTGTTTACATCCTCTCTCAGAAATTATACACTGAACCTTATAGCATTAAGATCATTTTTCTTGTGTGAGATTTACAGAAAAACTAGAGTTTCATTTTTATATCTATCTTTGAGAGATAATTATTGTAATTTTTTGTAAAAGCAAAAACACCTTCTTTTCAACCTTATAAGAGTGTAGTACACACAGTGTTCTTGACTTAGAAAGTCTGTGTAAAATCTGTGGAGAATTGTTCAATCTCTGAAAAGGTTGCTAGCACCCTGTGAAGTTAGAATATAGTGAAAAATCTAAAGTGAAACTTGAGGAGTGGATGTAGGCTTGGTTGAAGCCGAATCACTATAAATCTGTTTGTCTCCTCCTCCTAATCTCTTTACTTTCCTATTGCTGCTATATCTATCTAATATTCATGTACTAATCATTTGATTTACCGTGTATGTTAGTTATATTTCATTGTTAATTTGCTTGATCATTTATTATTAAGTTCATCATTGTGCTTGTCAATAATTTGTTGTACTAGTAATTAATTTTATTGAGGTATTATTAATTTTAATTTGTAGAAACTTAATTCACCCCCCTTTTAGATTGCTTTTTAGGTAACAATTACTAATTTGAATATCTTCCACTTGAACTTTTTGGCATACTACTGTGCTGAGCTGTTTGAACCTTTGTTTTGGACTGTTTGAGCCTTTGGTTTTGGCATTATTTTTGAGTTAAAATGAACTCCTGATTTAAGTAAATATTAAATGCATTCAAACAATATTCAGGATAAAAATTTAGGTGAGAAATAATGAGACAAAATAAATTTTGATTCTATTTTTCTCTTTCAAATAAATTAAAACATAATTAAATAAATCATCAAAATAAATTTTGGATTCTATTAAAACATAATTAAATAAATCATCAAAATAAATTTTGGATTCTATTTTTCTTTTTCAAATAAATTAAAATATAATTAAATAAATCATCAAAATAAATTTTAGATTCTATTTTTCTCTTTCATAATTAAATAAATTATCAAAATAAATTTTGGATTTTATTTTTCTCTTTCAAATAAATTAAAATATAATTAAATAAATCATAAAAATAAATAAGTCTGACAAGTTTTATAATTTATTTAAAGTTTGAAAATTTTAAATGTTTAGTTTATTTATTTTTGTAATCGAATTAGTTTAAGGTACATGTAAGGTGACTCATTTATAGAAATTTCTGGAGTTGTGACTAAGTATGCTAAATGATTATGATGACGGATTGTTAATAATTGGCCGGTGAAGTCTAATAATTATTCTATTTTGATCAAATAATATTATAGTTATTATAGTTGAGGTGGTTAATAAATACAAATTTATAGATGAATACAATAAAGTGATATTCGCTAATAATGAAAAGTCTCTGTGTAATTACCCTACTAAAAATTAAAAACTAAGGAAGGAGTAAAATATAATTGTGCTGAATTTAAAAGATTTAATGGATTTTAAAATAAAATTAAAAAAAAAAAAACTAAGAGAAAAGAAATTAGTGTAATTAATCCAAATACTATTTACAACATTGTTACATCTATTGAATTTGTTTAGTCTGAATTCATCCGAATGAGTCTCTTTTTAGAAAGAATCTCCAGATTCTGAAAAGAGACTTCTTTAGACAAATTTGGGATAAACAAGATTCTTCCTTAACAAATTCGATGAATAAATCATTAATCTACTATTTATGAGGAAAGTGGAAAAGAGTTGGTAGGGAGAAAATAGCATTTTTAAGCGTGTTTGATGCAACTTACTATAAGTAAAAAGTTAATAATTTGAAAGCATATTAAAAATGCTCTTTTCTTAACTTTTAAATAATAATTGATTTAAGTTATTTACCAAATAAATTAGGAGTGTTTGATACAACTTATTATAAATAAAAAGTTAACAATTTGAAAGCATATTAAAAATACTCTTTTCTTAACTTTTAAATAATAATTGATTTAAGTTATTTACCAAATAAATTAGGAGTGTTTGATACAACTTATTATAAAAAAAAAGTTAATAATTTGAAAGCATATTAAAAATACTCTTTTCTTAACTTTTAAATAATCAACTTATTGTAATTGATTTAAGTTATTTTTTACCAAATAAATTAGAAGCAAAAGTTACAACAAACCGTTTGACAGAAATTTTAGAAATCAAATAAGCTGTAAGTTGCTCAGTTAATTAATCTGAGCCAAACAGCCCCTTTCAAGTCTGTATATTTCGTCAACGCACTTTTGTAGGGATAGATTGAGGAGTAAGGATTCTCTCCTTGCCTTCCCTACTTCACTCTCTCATTGCAATGGTCAAGATTCATCTTAAGATAATCTAATGACACAGATCACTTTATTAAAAAAAATTAAAAATTAAAAAATAATTTTTTTGGAATGATCTACACCATTGAATTCTCTTAAAATAAATCTTAAGCATTACAAGGAGGACGTGAAGTAAGGAAGGTAAGGAGATAATCCTTGCTCTAAATTGAGGACTTTATTTTAAAAAGACCTATCAGATAACCAGTTGAACCTTATTAGAACCCTGCCAATCCCAATAGATAAAAGAGGCTACCTTGAACCCCATAATAATATATTATTAGTCCCAAACTCGCACCCTCTCTTGGTTATCTATAAATAAAAGCCAGGGTTGGGTTGGGCTGGCTTGTGTGAGTAGAGTTTAATTGAGTTGCGATTACCTGATAAGTTATTATCAGAAAATGGCCGAATCTGATTTCAGTAGAGATGAAGAAGGAAGAGTAGCAGCATATTTCCCTGACGATTTCAAGCAATATGAGGACGCTCAACTCAACCGCTGCCCAGTGGTGGACAATTATGATGAAGAAAATATCTTCTGTGGATGGGTTTTCTGGAGCCGAGAAGACGACCAATCCGATCATCCTCCGGGTGAGTGGGACTTTTATAATGTCTCTTCTCTTTCTCTCTTCTTCACCCTCCTTTGAATATGGGTTTTTATTTATCTAATTTGTAATAATGGAGTTTTATTTATAAGTCAATTTTGTTTTTATTTTGTTTGTGTTTTTTTTTTTTTTTTTTTGTTATCATTAATCAGATATTTTGGATTTAAAAAAGAAGATTAAAGATGTCCTTCGACAGTTGTCACAACGTTGGTTTGGATGTCCAACACTAGCTCAATTTTGGGTACCCACAATGACAACGGAGGGCCGGTCTTATCTTACAACTGAAAACCAACCTTTCGCTCTCTGTACATTAGATAGAAGAATTGATGATGATGTTAAAGAACTTTGTGGGTATAGGATGATCTCTAAGGACTATAAATTTTACATGGATAGTGAGAGTTCTGACGAACAACTTGGGGTTCCTGGCCGTGTGTTCAAGCATGGACTCCCCGAATGCACTCCCAATGTAGAATATTACTCTATCAAAGAGTATCCATTGCGCGACCATGCTTTACTTTGCCAAGTTGAACATTCTTGGGCTGTCCCAATGTTTGAACTTTCTACCCACTTATGTGTTGGTGTACTCCAGATAGTTTCAACAACGCCCTCAGAGAGATTTCAATTGTACAACAACTATGATTGGCTGTTTGTGCTAAAGGTTAGTCCCCCAACTCACAAATTGTCATTTTTCTATGTCTTTCTAATATTTGATTGATTAACTCCCCTCTCTCCCGTCTTACATGTATGCAGAATCGTGCTCCTTTGATAATTTAAATTTAAAAGAAAAAAAAAATTATCAAAAAAAAAAAAAAAGAAAGATGAGAAACAAATATTCTACATTTCAAAGTGTACAAGATTCCTTAGTCGCATCTTTCCATTCTCCTGCAGGATGTAGGTCTGTTATCTTCAATTTCACATGCAAACCGTGGCACGGATTTTGTAAGTGGTACACCGTAATGTAATGTCAAATTTGGTATTTTATTTTATTTTTTAAATTAATATGATGAGGAATATCCTCTGACAATACTTGGATGTGACAACAACCAGAATGTGAGACACACTGGAAATGACATTTACGTGTTAGAGTGCTTTATGCCGCCAGGCATCAAAGACTATGGTAATCAACAGACTGCATTGAGGAAAATATTGGAAACAATGAAGAAAAATTTCCAAACTTTTAAGCTTGCTTCTGGAGATGAACTTGGGGAACATTTATGTATTGAAGAAATTTCCTTTCAGAATGGTGAGAATCTTGATTCTGCTCAAATGTCCCAAACTTCCCAAACTACTAAATCTCTACCTAGGGTGGAGCCCTTACAAAGTGGAGGAGAGATGACACAACTGGATTTGTCGAGTCAACAATCAGTGGATGCATTACACAATGAATGGAATGTTGTAAGTGCGGAACAAAGCAACATTGATGTTACTTGTTCACAGGAAAAAGGCAAAACAGAGAAGCCAAAAAGAGTGCACAATAGAACTGGAGCTAAAATTGAAATTCCTTTAGATGATATCCTACAAAATGCAAAAAGGAGCATCCAGGTTGCTGCAGATAACCTCAAAGGTATGCTTACACTCTTAACAAATTAAAATAGAATATTGCTTGTGATTTTACTTATTATTTTCGACTAGACACTCTTCTCGTAAAGAAATATTGGACATTTTGCACTAACAAACATAAAGTTGTCTCTCTTAGCTAGATTCTTCCTTTTGCAGTTAGCCGGTCTACACTAAAGCGTGTTTGTAGGAGTTATGGTTTCTCGAGGTGGCCACCACACAATAAGAATATGGTTGGTTCCTCTCAACCAAGTGAATCTTCCCCGGGTGTTGATCATCAACAAATACCACAATTAAGTTCTGATCAGCCTTTTAGTCAACCCTCAACTGCTGTTGTTCACTCAAACCCACATAATACAGTGATCCAAGATGCAAATATTGTGACCGTGAAGGCAAGCTATATCAATGATATTATAATAAAGTTTCCGCTGCCTTTGTCATCGGGACTAGTTGAGTTGCAACAACAAATAGCTAAGAGGCTGAACTTAGAAGCTGGAAGTTATCATGTCAAGTATAAAGATGAGGAAGATGACATGATTTTAATAGCTTGTGATGAAGACTTGCAGAATTGTATTGGCACTTACAGATTGCCGAGAACTTCCATCATGGTATCGGTTGAACCAAAGTCAATTACCATTGACCAGATGATGGCCTCATTTGAGGAGAACCTGCTATTTGAGTAAACCAGACAATGAATTGCTTAAATGTTCTAATTTGTGTGGGCTATTATGTCAACATTTTGGTTTCTTCAGATTGAAACCGGATTTTTCTTATCAGACTACTCTTTTTTTTTCTTTTTTTTTTTTTTTTGGGTGCAAGTAGTAAGTTGGATTTGATGGACAAAAACACCTTCAGTTTATGTTGTTTTGCTGCATACCTATGTGATGAATTATTGTGTTGGATGGATGAGAAGCATATTTTTAAATGCATTGCCTTCAAGCTATAACTTCTATGTGCTTCATATCTGTATTAATTTGAATTAGCTAATCCTAGTTGCGGTCATGGAGGAGCTAGTGTACATGTGACCCTCAGTGCACAGTGACTTGTCCAAACATTTAGACCGAATTTAAGGTATATGAAGGATTTTTGTATATGTTTTTTTTGGAACATGTCTGTTTGTGTTCCTTCCTATCTGATCCATGTGTCGAAGTGTGCCGCTTTTAGAAAGTCCTCAAGCAGTTAACAAATAAAGCAAAACATCCTACATGTTAATTTCATGATTGTGAACAACTTTTTCTATTTCTAGTGGCATATAGTGGGGGTAATGTGGTTGACAATGTGTCGATAAATTGGGTAGTCAGTGTTCAATAATGCAATTGAGACGGCATGGCCATTGTTGATTTCTGTCTGGTTCTAAGAGTGAGCTTACTACCGACTTATTTATCTTGTTTACCTTTTGAATTTGAAATGTAATGGTCATGACCTTTTTTTTTTATTTGATGGAGCAGTGGCTGCCTTCCACCATCGCCTCAGGAGTATCCTATCTTAGGTCTCAACCTTTTGAGACTCCTTGTGCAGAATAGAATTGCTGAATTCCACACTGAATTTGAATTGCTTTCAGCCCATGAAACTTCTATTTCATGGATCTGTTGGCAAAGACAGTCAGGTAAACTGTGTGACTTTACTTATGTCAAAGATTAAAAGGAGAGGCAAGAGTTGAAATAATATCTGATTTTTTAGCGTGTTTTATTTGATTATAGTTGTTCATTCCGTTCATATAATATCATGTATTCTTTTAAGTAGAGGAAAATGGGGGCATTTATGAGAGTTTGCTGGTGGACAGTTGCAGCCAATAGTTGAATTTCGTTTGGGCGGAAATAGTGATGGAAATTAAATGCACGTTGGTTGGTATTACTGCTTTTACATACACACATTGTCTACTTGGTAGCAACATTGACTATCCCACTACATTTGAATTATGGTGAGGTCTATGTTGATTTGTTTTGGTTAACATGTTTTTCTATCCCTTTTGCTACGTTTGTTCATAATATCAAGTTAGTGACCTGAGAACAGGGATTTGCACATAAATTCTCTATATACATATGCACTGCGGACTGATCAATCGCTCTCGTCTTTTCTTATTTTTTTCATTCCAACTATGGTAGCATGTGCACTTTGGAAAGTGTTGGTTGGTATTACTGCTTTTACATGTGCACATTGTTTGCTTGGTAGCAACATTGACTTTCCTGCTAAATTTGAATTATATTAAGTGAGACCTATGTTAATTTGTTTTGGTTATCACGTTTCTAAATCTCTTTTGCTGCGTCTGTTCACAATATCAAGTTAGCAACCTGAGAAGTGGGATTTACGCATACATTCTCTATGTATACATATGCACTGCGGAGAGATCGATCGCTCTTGTTGTTTCTTATTTTGTTCATTCCAACTCTAGAAAGTGTGGTTAGTTGGTAGAAAGTGTGGTTAGTTTTGTGCCCTTAGTAGTTCATTTGTCTTTCGCAGAGATGAAATTAGCTGGATGCAGCGAAAAGGCCTACGATTCACTTTCAATTAATGATGCCCGGAAAATATTGTTCTCTTCAGACAAAGAACTTTTTGAATGTCAAAGAGGTAAAATTCTTGCTGCTAAGCTCATTTTCATTCTTATTATTGTTAACCAATGGAATACATTAATGGCTGGATTTACTTCGGTGGTCTATAGTTAAAGGGAAGTACTAACCATCTAATTAGAAGTCAACTCTTATTTTTGTTGTTTTCTTTTTGTTCTTTATTACTTATCATTTTTACTTGCCCTCTCTTGGCCAAGAGCCGTATTGAGCAAAATTTTGTTGGAATATTACAGTGTGTACACAATAAAAATTGGATTCTACATTCTGTTTTAATTTTATTTGCTTCTCAATAGTCTGTTAGGGCTCAGTTTGGTGCTTGGAAATGGTGAGGGAAAGCAGGAAGAAAGTAAAATAAATGTGAAAGAAAAGTTTTTTTAATTTTTCTTCCTTATTTTGTCGTACATAAATAAATATTAAATTAAAAAAATCGTAAGAAATGGTAAGAAATCAAAAATAATAGGGAAAAAATGATATTTAAAAGTTGACATTTCTCCATTTTCTTCACATGTTTTCTTTTCTGCTCTATCTTCCAAGGTAACGAGACGAATTTCTGTACTATTTTCCAAGGTAATGAAACGAAGACAAATGATTTCCTTTCTATTTTCTTTTCCCTTTTTTTTTAATCACCAAATCAATGAATCAAATGGAGCCTAGATGCAAGGGCTTTGTGGAGTTGCAATATATGCATTATTTATGGTTTTTCATTCTATACTTCAGTGATAGCATCTTAACCTTGTATTAATAATAATACAAAAATCCACCAACATGGAAGCCTTGTTCTTGATTTGGTGTCCAATGCAAGGGTTCTTTGATAAGCATCGTTTTATATGCAATTTGTTGGAACATCCTGAGTAGGAGATAAAGAACAGGTTTGTGATTTTCCAAAAGGCAAAAGAATCTGTGCCTTGCAAGGTGATACGAACTCTGCAACTCATCAATCAGACACTCAGTTATGCAGGGGAGTTGGAGCTGATAGTGTGAAAGATATGCTGCCCGATGTTGTCAATGCTACTACCATTCTATGGTCCAACTTCCTGATGCTAAACTTGTGTTTTGCTGAATTTTTTCCTAATGCTAGGATCACTTTTTGTAGTTAAATTTGTTGACTTTCTGCAGTGCGCATTCACAGCATTTTGTTTTGGCTTCCTCTCAATTGAATACTTGATTTCTTTTTCTTTCTTATCATTTATGGAACACAGTTTATTTTAATTGCAATCTTTGTGCAAGGAGAATGAGAAAATTTAACTAAATGGCTGATTGTATTAAGAAGAGAATGAGAAAATTAAACTGAATGGCTGGTTGTATTAAGAATCCTGTGTCTCTCTCTCTCTCTCTCTCTCTCTCTCTCTCTCTCTCTACTCTATATGTAGCACATTGTCAAAGTAGTGTTAGTGATGCAATGTTTGTGAGTTCAGTTTCAATTTTTTGCGTGATTAAGCTTTAGTGATAACCAACTTTACTTGATTAAGCTTATATTATGTGTTTTACAACTTGGGCTTTCTTTTTTGTGTACCAATTATTACTTGGTCCTAAGTTTTCGTATTTAAAACTTAGAAATGAACCGATCTGTGAATTGATTTTTTCTAAGAATGCTTGATTACGAGTGTAACTAACAATGAGTGGGCTTGATTGTAGAACTGACATAATATAAATTGGCAAACAAGAAGTCAATAATGCAGGGGACAAAAAAAGTTTTACATGACAAGGATTGGATAGGTGCAGGTAGTACCCTTCGCAATAATGGAAGATATACATATTCATAACGGGAACCTGTTCAGGCAATCCGAGCTTTTACATTTTAAGGTGGTAATACTTGTCAAGGAGCTTTTCAGTATACTCACCGAAAGTAAGAGATCCATAGGATGAGATTAACTGGGAAACAACAAAAGAACAAATACCAATTGATTATGATCATGATATTCATAATTTTTACCCAGAGTGAAGCAGGAAAATAAACTGAAAATTAGTTATGCCCTTATATAATAACTTTGTCACAAAAATTATGTGCAACACTTGCAACTGTGCGCGTTTTGCTCTTGCACTGAGCATGTGTCACAACAATAGGGTAGGGGAAGTGGGTCAAAATGGGGGAAGGGTTGGGGTGACTGTGATGGCTAGGTTTTGAGGGGCGAGGGTTGTTCAGTGGGGAGGGGAGGGGCTGGGAGTGGTGGGGGAATGACTGGGAGTGGCAACCACTAGCATATTGGTTTCAAGGTAGCAACTAAACATAAGAAAATATTTTCTATGTTTCTGCCAGAACAAACGGAGGGCTGGGGATTGCGGGAGAGGGTTTTGTAGTGGTGGTCGACGGTCAGGAGTTGCAAAGGAAAGAGGAAAAGAAAGAAGAGGGAAAGGGAAAAGGGAGTGGTACTTTGGTCAGTTTAAGGAAGATTCTACCCATTTGAAACTACCTACGTTTGGCATGAACTATTTTGGCTAAATTAGCCAATAAAGACAAAATACACTAATTTAGCCAATAAGACAAAACGTCACATCTAAATTATAATCATTTTACTTTTTTTTCTCACAACTATCAAATTAACTACAAAAAAAAAAGAGTCAAAATTTATCCAAAACATAACTATTTTAGTCAAACTAAAATAGCCAAAGTCAAAAAGTCAAGCTAATTAGCTCATCCCAAATGAGGGCTCAATGCTTCTAATAGCCCCCACCCTTTTTATTTAGAACCCCCACCTGCCAAAATTGCTACCCACCTTTTTTCTTTGAACTCCCACCACAATCCCCAATAATACCCCTTTCTTTAGACACCCGCCCTTGTCAGCAACCAAGCCCCCACCTCCACCTTCAACAATCCCCCCTCCCACACCAGCAACCCCCTTCTTACTATAACCTTATTCCCAACCCTGCCATTGCACAACCTCTCGTCTTCCTCTCCCAACAAGCTCTCTTTTTCCCACCTGATGTTGCAACGGAGAGAATGAGAGAGAGAGGGACAGTTGTGAAGAGGGGCTGTGGGGAAAGAAGAAGAAAGAGGTTATGGTAGTGGACACGGGTGTGGGATTGGAATGGGGTGGCGATCGAGAGAGTCAGGGAGGCGCAGAGGGTGGTGGGAAAGGGCTGAAGGAGGTGGCTAGGAATGGTGGGAGATGGTGGCAGAGAGGGGTTAGGCTAGAGGAGGTAGTGGGGAGGGACAAGGGAGGGTGGCCGGAGCAGCTAGTGGTGGGTAAGCTTAGGGTTTGGGAGGTTAGAGATGTATGATAAAATTGAAATTTTGTGTTAGGGTAAACTTGTAATAGAAAAAAAAAAGAAAATGGAAGAGGCAAGGGTCCAAAGATAAAAGGTGGGTGCTTTTAACAACACTCTTTGAAATTATGTTTCTCTCATATCCCACTTCTATTGCGCGCGCATGTACACTAAAAAAAAAAATGTTGCATCCCACAATAAATCCAACCTTTTGGTAATTATTTGCCCCACCTCCCACTGATTTGTAATTTCTCCCAAAAAAAAAAAAAAAGGCTTCTACTTCATTCACTTTTTTTCTCCCAAACACACATTAATGTGTACTAATTGGGTTTTTTTTTTTTTTTCTTTCCCCCTTCCCCTCCACAAATCCAAGATCCAAACACCACCGCAATATAATTCTTTCCATACAACCATTTGAAAACCCCTCTTTTGATTTTAAACCAAAACCCGAGGTTTGTTCAAAATCCACCAAAATCACAATATTGTTTATGAAAAACAAGTAGCTAAGTTAAAAATCATAAAAGAATGTAGAAAATCCCTACCTCAAAGCTAAAAGACGAGAAAAGCACGGATGAAACTCGAATGAAGCCAAAGCCCAACTCTATTTGGATAAAAATGAAGTTCTAGGTGAGCTCTACCTTTTTAACAAAGGGAGTAGGGTGGAGAAATGGGTAGATCTTGATGTATTTGTAGAGACAGAGTAGGTCCTAGAGAGAGAATGTCTCAACTTTAGGTTTTTGAAATGTTTAGAGAGAGAAAGAGGTGAAAAAATGATGTAAAAAGTGACTTTTACGAACTAATATACGCACAGTCCGCTTGAGCGCAAGAAGTGACGCTCAAGCTTCCAGGCACAAAAATGATTACCGCTCAAGTGCAAAAAATGACGCTCGAGCACCAAGACACAATGAAAAAGGCGTCATCGCTCGAGCGCAAGAAGTGACACTCGAGCGTAGAATACACACTCCCATAAATTTTATAAATAGAAGACCATCGCTCGAGTGGAAGACTGTTCGAGTTCAAGAAGCACCGCTTGAGAGTAGAATACACTCTCCTAATAGTTTTGCAGATCTGCAAAAATACTGAAGACTCATAAAGCATGCTCGAGCGCAAGAAGTGACGCTCGAGCAGAGGAGTAAATTTTTGGACAACAAAAGTTTGAAAACCAACCTACCAACCTGTTCCAAACGCAACCAATACAACCCAATAGCCAAACTCAAAGAGGGGAACAAAGAATAAGACAAGAACAACAATACAGAACCATGAAACCCGAGTCCAGAATATCAAATAGGTCGGGTCTAAAACCAGAATCGCTATAATATTTACATTTTTCTTTAAATACGGTTGTACCATGAGGATTAGTTACAGGTACTCTTTCAAAATGCTTCCAAATAGTACTAGACGTGCCCCTAGATGATGTTGTTGTTTGAAGAAGGATATTAGGTACATTAGAAGGAGAATAAACAAATTCATGTTGTGTATATGCATTAATATCAACATAAACATTAGGAATATTAGGATCCATAATAATGTAAGTTAAATAATATATATGAACTAACAATTAACTAAAATAATGAGTAAACAATAATGAATTTCAGAATAACAACTAATATATGTTACGAAATAATTAACGAAAAAAAATAAGTAACTAATAAATATTAATTCAAATAATTAATGTTACCGATTGGCGAATGCGATATAAAAATTAATTTCTTCTGATAAAAGTTTCTTCTTGCTCAATTGCAATTGCCACTTAGGGATAAGATTTCAAAATTAATTGAGAGAGTTGAGAGTTGAAAGAGAGATTTGTGTGTGAGAAATGAAATGGGAGAGGGGTGGTATTTATAGGAGTTGGAAGGAATGAGGGGTTAATTTATATAATTAAAAAAAAATTGTGGCCGTTGGTAGGAAACGGTCATTTGACCATTTGAATAAAAAAAATTTACTGTTGGTTGGACATTGCGCACTTGTGCAGCACATGGAGCCTTTGGAGGGTGGGCCGGCAGGGTCGGGAAAAAAAATTCAGGTCGGGGTGGGCTGCGCCACGGGTCAGGCAGGCTGTGAAACAGATGGGCTAGGCCAAGGGCAAGGGTCCCGGGTTGGACTCGAGCTTGAGCCTAACTAGGCCTGGCCCACCTAGGCTGCAGCGGCCCAAGAGCTGGCAGGCCAATTTTACACCCTTACATATCACAAGTATTACACTAGTATAATATAAGCAAAAACGTTATGGCCTCTTTGAGATTAGAAGTCTCACTCTAATTTTCTCAATTTTTCTTAATTTTATAATTTTTAAAATACACGTGGTATCTTACAATTGGTCCAAAAT